GGTGGCGGTAGCCTGTGAGGCTCTCCGTCTGCTGCAGATCGAGCCCTTGGCCGTCGGCCCCGGCGCGGGGCGGGCGGGCGGTGCGGCGCCATGCTCGGTAGGTGCTGCGGGGCGGGCGGGGGGCGGGGGGCCCGACCCGGCGGCGCAGGCGGTCCGAGACCTGAGGCCCCGCTGCCCCACAGAGGAACGCGCTGCGGAAGCTGAGGCGCTGGGAGCGGGTCCTGGCGGCCAAGAGGAGAAAGCGCTGGCAGGAGCGGGAGCGGAGCCGGGCTCGGCGCGCCGGGAGCTCAGGTAAGGCGGGGAGCAGGGTGGCCTCGCCGAGGGGCCCGGGCCGGGGCCCGGGGCCGGCGCTGCCCTCTCTCTGCTCTGCCTCCCAGGCGCTGTCGGCCGGGACAGCGGGAGGGTCGCGGCCGCTCTGGCGAAGGAACGGCTTCTGGAGGCGCGGGCGTCGGGGCCCCGGCTCTGCGTGGACCTCGGGCTGGCCCACTGCATGTCGCAGAAGGTACGGGGGACCGGGCGGCGGCGGCCTGGACACCGCTCGGGGGTGCAGGGGACGTGCCTCATCGTGGCCGCGGCGCGGCGGCTCCCTCTCTCCTGCCTGTCCCTCTGCCTCTGCCCTGGAAAGTGTCCCGCTCTGCGCTGATGGCGGAGCGGGAGCCCTCTGAAGTGGGACCGAGGGGAGGACGTGGCTGGGGCAGGTCCCTGGCTTCTTCAGGCTCTGCTGGGAAACTGAGGAACTCTCCAGCTTGGCTCATGCTGTGCTGTGTGTGGGTGCACACACAGCAGCTCCCCTGGGCTCAGCCCTGGGGGCTCCCGTCCCTCCCGCCTCTGCCCATCCCCCAGGGCTGCCAGGTCTCCAGCATGGGCTGGCCTCACACCTAGCTCTCTGGGTTTCCTTCAGACCCAGAAGAGCTGAGCTGTGCTCCCCAGAACAGCCTCGGCAACCAGCCAGTGACACAACCATGATGGATGTCTGCAGGCCCAGAGTGGAGCCGTGTTACCCTCTGCTCCATGGCCCGTGGGTCACTAGGCTTGTTATTTGTTGGAAGGAAACAAGCCGCCTCGCCTCCCAGATCAGGAGACTCTACGGGGCAAACAGGCGGGCCGAGAAGCCATTCTGGCTATGTCTGACAGAGTTTGTGGTGGGATCGTTGATCTATGAGGAGTGTTTTCGCATGAACGACGGCTTCTCCAATTATTTGGTAAGGGTCTCTGACCACAGTGCTCTCAAGGCTCGTAGCACCCTATGGCCACAGTGCTGGCCCAGGACAGGCTGAGGTGGGCTGGGATGGTGGGAATGCCGTTCAGGGATGGTGGTTAAGGTCAGATCTTCTTGCACTTTGGCAGGAGACAATAACTAACAGATAATGGGGTGATGTGCAAGGCTGCCTAGTTGGAGTTCGCGTCCCTCCTGCCTGCAGGAAAATTCCTTCTCCAGGTGCTCCTTCTGCAAAGAGACCTGTGATACTGGGGACAGGCAGACACGTGGTCAGGCTTTGGGCAGGTCAAGCATTCCTGTCCTGAGTTTTTTTACCGAGCTTGGTCTGACTCAAGCAGGAGACCCACACGTTAGGGTTATGACAGTGACATTGAGCCTTGTGGGGCTGCACCTGGTAACAGTGAGGGGCAAAAACCATCTAAAGTGGAGATTCCTGAATCTCTCAAGAATTAGAATCCCACCCGCCTGGATGCTCCTGAGTAATGTGCTCTAGGCGTTCCTGCTTTAGCAGGGGAGTTGGACCAGATGATCTCTAGAGGTCCCTTCCAACTCTGACAATTCTGTGATTCCGTGATTTAAAATCAGGCAATTATTGCTGATCCCCCTTCCTCAAACCATGTCTAGGGATTTTTATGAGAAGAGAATTTCATGGATTTTGAGATATGTGTTGTTCAGTACCCATATGGAAACACTTTCCAAATAAAAAAACCCACTCTCCCACTCTCTCTGTAGGAGTTTAAACACCTAAGGCAGTAGTGTCACTTCCAGTATATTTCTATGTCTGAGAGCGGATTTTGCTTGGAATTTAGGCTAATGGGCTTCTCTTCCCATCTTGCATTTTTCAGATGGATACAACTCAAGAAAGTTACCTGGACCTGTTTCCTTTAGATTCAATTGTTTATCTCACTCCTGACTCTGAGAATGGTAAATATATTTGCTTTAGGCACAGGGGAACTAGGGCATAAAGTTGATTTTTAAGCTTTTTTTTTTTTTTAAGACTATTTCTTACTTCAGGTGATTCAGTTCCAAGCATTCACTGTCTCAAATTGCATGAGATACACTGTGTACTTAGGTCTGATGCTAAATCTATTCCTATCTCAATCTGTTTCTACAGGGAATGAGGTTTCAAGTGAGGGCTGTGTGTCATCTGCAGCAAACTTAACTTAAAACCTGCGTGTAGAACCCCTGCAGTTTGTAATAGTATTAAGTGGCAAAGTGGAGATGCTGTGGCAGCTTTTAATACAGTCTAAATTACATCTTTCTATAAAGTAATGCTGGAGCTACAAACAATGTTCCCTTTATAGCTTAATTTGCTGCCGTGTCTATTTTCTCCATTCCTAACTGGCCCCATGTTCCTGGGACATAGATCCCTTTCTTGTTTTACACAGGTGTCTTACTCTGATAAAGAGTCTGGTGGGGGAAGGTTTTATAGGTGACCCTGGGAGTGGGGAGGCATCTCAGACTGACCGATGGGTCAGGTCTCAGAACAGACTGTGGTTCACAGGAACAGTGAGTGGTCTCTCTGGCACTCCAAGCTTTCAGCCTAACTCTGTTCCCCCGCTCACTCTGCCTGTGGGCTCAGGTGAACACTTCAGTCTCTGACGCCTCAGCTTCCCCCACGGCCCGAGGCTCTGGGGTGACAGGTGACTCTGGCCACAGCTTTCTCTCCTGCCATGGGCATAGGGTCTTGCTTGGGGGAAGGTGTGGTGCAGGATTTTACTGTTGTGTGGGGCTGAGCAAGTGCTTGTCTTGTTTCTAGTCCTTGAAGATATTGATCCAAGTAAAGTGTATGTCCTTGGAGGCCTGGTGGATGAAAGTATTCACAAGGTGGGTAGTAGCCTGCGGGAACCTGAAGGTGCTGCCTGCCCCATTCGCTGATGAGAGCAGAGTCATCCATTGGTAGCACTAGTGCTACTGGTGCCTCAGTTTGAGACATCACTATTGTGTCACCATCTGCTTTTCCTCAGGGTTCTGCCTGGATCCAGTACCAGGCTGAGACAGACTGCAGCAGTCTGGGTGAAATGAGCAGGTTTTGGCTTTGTAGCTGTTACGTTGTCCCAGTACCCAGAATGACGCCCCTGCTCTGCACGTGCAGGTTTGTGCACATTGGGCACCTTGTTCTTGTTTCCCCTGCAGAAGCTGACTCTGCAAAGGGCACAGGAGCAGTCCTTGCAAACAGCCCGCCTCCCCATCCGTGAGTACATGGTGAAAACTGCCAACACAAAGAACTACCACTCGGAGACACTGGCAATTAATCAAGGTGAGGCCTGAGCCACTTCCTGTCACTTGCCTGAGAATGGGAGGGGGGGAGGCTGTCAAGCAGCAGAATTTTCAAAATGTGCTGAGTAAGGGGAAAAAAACAGGGAGCAGAGGTTTCTCTTACTAGGTTTTATCCTTGCTGCCCCTTTGTAAGATCTTGTGTGCTTCTGCGCATCAGCCTGTTCTCAGAGGAGCAGGACTCGCATTGCTCTTGCTTTGCAGAGCAGTAGATGGTGGGTGTGGGGAGATGTGGGGAGGCTGCTGTCACTATAAGTCACACAAGGTCCCAGGCAAGGGAGGACAGAAGATGTCAGGTCAAGGCAGGACTCACACCACCCGGGGAGGGTGTTTGTGTGCCATACCACTGTGATGGCTCTGTGTGGTGACCACACAAAAGGTGTGCCCATGCTCCTCCACCTCTGCTGGCAGCCTGTGGCTTTGTAATGTGAACGCCTCTGCTAGGGACCACAGAGGGGCTCATGTCCTAACCAGCTCTCTGGCATGAGAACTTTGTTGCCATCTCTGTCAGCAGCAGCAGAGGCGGTGGCTGAGGACTCTGCAGAGCACCAAGCTTAGCTGCTAGAGACTGCTGTGTCCCAAGGGAGCCCTGATGTGGAGACACAGCGTCTGAGAAGCAATGGTGGAAGCAGAGTAGGTGTGATCCAACATGGATGTACTGTCATCAGCAGCACAGACCAGCAGTGTGAGTTAGTCACAACAGTGACCAGGGGCACGTTCCTGTATTTGACACAGCCTCTGCTTTTCCTCGCCAGAGCTCCCCAAACTTATCTTCAAAATAGTCATCTGCTCCTAGATAAGCTGCCCTAAACACTCGCTCATCAGATCTTAAATGAGAGGGAATGCGGATCCTGTGATAATAGCTGATGCCAGAGAAGGTTATAATTTCCTGAAGCTTTGCAGCCAGTGGGGCAATAGAGCTCGCTATTGATACTGGTATCACAGCATGGTACATCTCTCTCTTCCTGACAGTCTTTGATGTCTTGTCAACTTACTATGAGACCCGAAGCTGGCCAGCAGCCTTGAAAGCTGGAGTGTCTTCTGGAAAAGGCTATGTGCTACCAGATGCAGTGAAATAAATGGAAATACCTCAGCATGACAATGCCCAAGAAAACTTTATTTTGTGATGTCGAGGAGCTGTGCAGGCAAGAGAGGCAAACTCCAAATTTCAAGCAGAGGCACCAGCATGGATGTGCATAGAGAAAACAGCTCTGCTTAAATCTTCTTTATGGACCTTGTTGAGAGTGACACATTTCTGCCTCAGCAGTACAATGCTGGAAATGACTTTTCCCCTTTCTGAACAGAAAACAAAAGCAGATGGAGCCCTGGGATCACGTAAAAACTGACAGGAATCAGTTTTGCAGCTTTGCAGGTGCTTGTTACAGTGTTTCTGACTCTTGCATCTATACTTGTTCTGGGACTGGTAGGAGAGCTTTAAGGTATTTCATCTTGATTAAACAGTAGAGTGAAGTTAGAAATGCAAAACTCACTGGCAGGGAAAATTCTTCCTGTGGAAAAGGACAGCGTTGGTCCAGTTGGGGAGCACAAGATGGGAAGTGATTCCTCAGTGGAGAAACAGTTCTCAAGTGCCCCATGTCCTAATGATGTTGAATTGAAGACTTGGTGAGTTCTTGAAGCCTATAGCTAATCCTGTGCGTCTAATCTAAAATAAAATGTTGAAACTCCCATTGCATCCTTACTGCTGCATGCATGGTGCATCATCACACGCCAACACGTGACATTTTCTTACCCTGACATTCCTCCTGGACCTGGAATTTGACTCTGTCCTGCACAAAGAGCAGTGACGTATTTCATGGCCATAGCAGAAAGCATTTTTAATGCATCTAAGTCACTATGTTACTTAAGCCATTGTTGCTGGAAAAAAAAGATCCCCCTCATGGTCAATGACCATGTCTGACCACCAGTGGAAGGACTTGAAGGGCTTCTGAGATAAGCTACTATGTAATACACTTAGGCGTTTTTATTTCTCCTTCACAGCAAGAGTCTGTCACACCACCTGGAATTCAGTGCCTCCAGCGTCAGCATGGCCTGCTGCAGCAGAAGTTGTTGGTGGGTGCATGATGTGCTGCTTCCCACATAGACTGATTTTGTGTCTGCTGCTGCCTCTTTCTTTGCTGTGCCCTGTGGGCTCTTTCAGTGTCCCATGGGCTCTTGCAGTTCCTACTCTTCACATCCCCCTCTTGTCAGCTGTGGGTGTGCAGTTAGAGGTCTGCACTTGGGCTTCAGTGTTAAGAGACTGAGCATGCTCTGAGGGTAGCAGCTTTAGGGACCTGGTGTAGGGCTGCTAAAGGTTGCCAAGTTCCTGTGGGTGTTTGCTTTCCTGGCTGTTAGTCTGCCTGGTGAGGGAGGTCTCACAGGGATGCTGCAGCACTCCCTTCTGCCCCAGCTGCTGTCCTTTTCCACACCAGGGTTCAGCTGCGAGAATTTGCCTTGCCCCATCCAGAACCATTAAAGAATGAGCAAAAAGTGGGGGTGGCCTCCCTCAGATGTTACAAAGCCACAGGACAATCCTCCCCTTCACACTGCCCTGGTGCTTGGGGAGATGTGGCAGAGCTGGCCACCTCTTGTGGCCCACTTATGTCCCTCTGCTGCCTGGTGCAAACCCCTCCACCCCAAGGACACTCGGCCCCAGCAGCAGCTCGTGAGGCAGCGCTCCGGCTGCAGGCGTCCCTCAGAGAAAGCCAGTGCTCCCCAACAACCCCTGTCAGACACTAGCAATGGGGACCTGACTCTGCCCGCTTCATCGGAGGTACCAAGGTCATGCCTCTAGCACTGGAGTGGTGATTCACAGGGGATGCACAACTGGACAACCTTCAGGGGTGAACAGCTCATACCCAGCTAGGGATACACCGCATGTGACAGAAGGAGAGCTACTGACAAGGTTGGAAAAAGGCGCTTGCCCTCTCCTAGGGAAGCCAGTGCAATGGGTCATCTCCAGAGCTGTGAGGGTGGCATTTCAGTCTTGGGGCTTAATCGTTCCTTCTGGAAGACACGGATCTGAAAGTGGCGGGGGGGGGGGGGGGGGGGGGGTGGGTGACAGATTTCTAAACCCATTTTTTTTAATTTTCTTTTATTTTTCTTTTTTTGGTTTCTTTTTCCCCCTCCCCTTCCCCGCCAGTCCTTCTCTCTTGCTCTGACTGTGACTCACCCGGCGGCAGCGAAGACACGAGTCCCCTCCGTTTTAGAGAAAAACCGCACGTCTGAAGAAGTTTCCCACGGTCTGCTCTTTAAATAGCTGCCTCGAGAGCCACGGCCGGACCCCGCCGCTGCTCGAGCATCGCTTCCCCCATCCTCTTCCTCACCCGCACGCCTTCCCCTTTCCCT